ACATAATGCAGTCCTAAATTTTGGGAATTGGTACTAAATTTCACTCTAGTTTTTATTTATGTATAATCGAGCGATTTCTTGATATACGTAATGTTGCGAGTTGTGGGCATCATATGTATGTTAGATCGTAAGTCGATTTGCAAAATTGTTTTGCCAAGAACACTGAGTTGTTTTTTTTTTTTTTTTTTTTTTTGAGTAACCAAGGACACTGAGTTGTAGTAATAACTCAGTGTGTGCTAACATTTAAGCGATGTTATATAGTATTATAATAAATAAATAAAAATAATAAATAATTATATATGTAGTTCTCACTCAAAAAAAATAAAATTATATGTGTAGTTAAAGTATAATAATTTGGGCTTTACATGTAATAATCTAAGATTGAATAGCAAAAGGCTTGTTAATCAAAATTTCCAACACAATAAAAGAAAAATAAAAAAAAGTTCTCTATAATTATTTATTATGAATATCATCAATTATAATGTTCATAATGATGTAGTAAATATAATATTTAAATCACAAAGGCTTTCTTCTCAAAAAAAAAAAGGGAAGGAAAATCCAGGAAAGTGCCACGTCAACGAGGATTAAGTCACAGGTGTAAAGCAATCGGATATTTTGCAGTTCAGTTGGCGTTTTCCATGGGACTTTCTCTCTCTCTCTATATATATATCTCTGTCACAGATCACTGTTCTTCTCTCTCTAGAAATTTGAGAGCTACAGCTGAGGAAAGCGAACTGCCATGGGTGGCGAAACTTACTTGTCTCCTCCTCCAACCGGTACTTGATTTCAAATCAATTCATTTTTTTGTATCATATTACTTTTTTGCCCATGAGATTTTCTGTAAAAGAAAAAAAAATCTCTTTGCAGAGGATGAATCGTTATTAGGTCAGGATTTCCCTCACGAATCAATTAATTCAAGTGTTTCCAGGTGATTAATTTTTTTCCCCCTTTTTTACATATTCCTTAATTGTTCATATGAAATTGAGGTTGATTGTTTGTTTCCAGTGAGGACGATGAGGGTTTGAGGAAAAGGTTTGGGAATGATTCGCCGACCAATGGGGAGTGTGGATTAATTCCTCGTATTTCTTCGATTAACGATGCTGTGGGGAGACAGAGATTGAAGCTGTATGCAGAGGTTTCAACAAGTTACGAGGATTTGCAACCTCGGATTGACAGATTGGATGAGGCTAAAACTAAAATTTTGAGGTTCTCAATTGATCCATGGTTTTTTATTTTGTTTTTTTATTTTAATCTATGCATCAATATTTAGACAACCTTCATTGCTTTAAGGAAGATGAAAATGGTTATTGCAATCTCGTGCTGATATTACAATTATTATTGATAATGTATTAAATCATGTTTGTCAAATAACTTTTTTCATGGCGTTTTCGTTTCAGCTACAAACCTGGTTCATGGGCTGAAAAGGCAGTTGCTATAGATTCGAGTGTGTACGACGTGCCGAACACTACATCGATTTTGCTAGTCGGCCCAAAAGCTTCCGGAAAGAGCGCTCTTGTTAACAAAATTTCTCGAGTTCTTGAAAATGACTTATTCACCTCAGAAAGATCCCAAGTATCATGTATATATATAAATCAGTCTATTTATTCGGTTTTTGTGTAACATATATTATATTTTAAATAATTTATCATGCATTGGTGATTTTAAGGGCTCGTTTTGCTTAAACATAGGTAACTCTTCTACTGGAGATGGAACCTATTTCCTCCACGAGTACGCAATTCCGAGAGATTCTGGTTCTTTTTGTTTATACGACACGCGAAGTTTGTCTGTCGATGTGTCTGAAAATACGGAAATGGTGAACCGTTGGATGACTAACGGTGTTCGTCATGGGGAATTGATCGAAAGGTCGCATTTTATTCGGTACTTTGTTTTAGTTTAAATCATGATACTTGTGCATTTACTTTATTTACTTTTTGTTTTTCAGACATTCTGATGGTACGGATTTAAAAGCTCGATTGAAGTGCAAGGCTCGAAAGAGTAGCGCTTCGAGTAAGTTGAGGGCAGTTAACTTTGTCGTATTCGTCGTGAATGGGCTTTCTGTGTTGGAATCGATGGATAGTTTTGATGAAAAGAAGAAAGAGTACTCTCGATTTATTGCTTCAAATTTCAATAATCCACTATTGTCATTTAAAGGTACCGACAATGGCACTCCCCTATTTCGTTTCAATTTGAGCTTTTACATATAATAATAAATAAAAAATAAAAATTGTCATTTATTCTGTTTTGTTTCTATTTGTGTTGCAGATGATAAGCCTGTTGTTGTAGTTACACACGGAGATTTGCTTTCACTTTCTGATCGTGTGAGAGTTCGTGTTTTTCTTGGAGAGCTTATTGGTGTTCCTTCAACAACTCAGATATTCGACATCCCAGGTTATTACAGTGCATTTCGAGAATATTTTTTCGATTATAATCATTAAACCACTCCGATAATTATATTTATTTGTATTTTAATTGCAGAAAATAACGAACCAGCCACTACACTGGCAATAGTAGATATGTTAATCTATTGCCTCGAGCGCGCAGATAGAAATATTCCCGCTAAAGTCAAAAGCCGTTTTTGGTCCAAGGTTTGGTTTACTTTGCTGAAATTATAACAGTTACATACATAGTTGCAAACATTGTCTTGTCTTGTTTCCTAATATGAAACAGCTGCATGATTTTAGTTTCGCATGCTTATCATGTGCAGGTTTCTTATGTGGTGATATATTTGCTCGTCTGGATTATTCTAGCAATGGCCGTTATCTTTCGATTTCGAATCCGTGGTCCCCACTCTCATCAGCCTCTGGATCAAACCGACGCGTCACCACCGATCGAAATTGAATGGCATAAAATTCGACATTTGTGGTCGGATTAGATTATCATCAGCCAATAAATTAATACTCTCTTTTTAATTGTAATTGTGGAAACATGTAAATAAGCAAGATTATCACAATAATGCCACTTCTGCAATGAACGGAAAAAAAAAAAACAGCCTTCGTTCATTATTTAAAAAAAAAATGAAAAAAATAAATCGCAAAAATTCTAAATTAAATAACATAAGATGATTTTGGAATAATCTGCAAAATTTTGCCCTTGCTGTGGGGTCCGTCTAAAATCGACCCAAAACAGCAACCGTAGCTGTATTGCTTTCCGAATTTCTCAATCCCTGGAGAAATCATGCAAGTGTGATTGATTAGCTTCGACGACAACTACTATTACATCTTCGCCTAAATGAGAAGTAACAGACAGTTTCAGCTATCTGCCTAGCCAGCCGCTCCTGTACTTGGGAGTTTGAATCCGTAAAAATGTACTATGGGTTGCAAAACGGATCTTCCGGTCGGGTCGACCCTGGCCTGTTTGGACCCGTAATAACCGATATGCACCACACCGTTGACCAAAATGGTAAGCATATATTTTTAGATTACATTTATTTATTAAACATATATATAACTCTAATTCAATATATATTTTTTTTAAAAATTAAAGCTAAAAAAACTCATTTTAAGAATAAAGTATAAAAAAATAAAATAAAACTTAACAATAGTAAATAAATTTATTGATATATATAATATTCGTAACTTGAAATGGTTAATAAAGCCCAATTCACATTTAAAACCCCCCAGATAATTAAGGCACATT